ATAAAGGCAACATTTTAAACTTCAAAGTGTAAGAGAATCTTTCGAATAACGAATCCTTCTCTAATTATATAATTCATGAGTATGAGTGAATGGCGTTGTTTAGTACTGTATTTTTGTCAGTATATTACGAGGGGAATGAGATAAATCAATTTCTGTACTCGGAATTTTAAAACGCACCCACTCCACGCCATTGTGCCATCACATTTTGTCGCGTTTTCTTTTTTTAATCAGTCACATATACAATTATCATGAATATCGTTCTTGAAAAGACAGATTGATGTGCATTGTGTTATGTCTATTATATCTTTTGACATTTTAAACATAATAGAAAATGTTACATTTGTACGTGAGTCCAGCTCAGGTTCATTAGCTTGTGTGGATTGAAGCTATTAGAGACATTCATTCGTTTTGCTTACAGTTCCTCTGTCACATTACATGAGTCAGACCGAGTCCAGTGAACCTGGGGGCTGCCTTGCAGTAGGACCGCGTGACTGCAGCATGTAGCCTCGGACCCCATACCTTCAGTGTGAGGGACCTCAGCTCACAGTTCTACCTATTGGCTCGTATCTTGTAATCTATACGGCCTACATTCTTATATGGGTCCCAAGTGGGCGCTTCCATTTCGGTTTTATGATTACAATTGTGTGCGACGTTTCAAATTCCCGTTGCGAAGCAGAATGTCGGGCCAGAGAGACAGTAACAGGAGGACTAACAATATTTCTAGATATTGTGACATGTAGGCGTTGCTAGGAAACGAATTGGCAAACACGTTGCCAAGGAGATACGATTCTTGGACACAAACCGTCGCTACGTGTTAAACAAACGTGTCCATGAATACGGGAACGGAAGTTGTAGACTCTTGGAAACCAGAGAGTTACCGCGATATTAACACACGTTACTATGGAGATGTGTGTTCCTGGAGACCAATTTGACACGGAACTCGTTTCTGTGTCGACGGACAAGCAACAGACACTTTCAGTGGTTACCGCTAGACTATAAAAGCGGTCATGCAGATAAGAACGGATTCGTTCGTCATTAGGCGTTCGTGATTCGTAAGTCATTCGTAATCAGAACCAAGTCAGTCACAGTAGAAGAGAAGACAGTCGCAGTCCAGCCAGAATGGAGCAAGTCGTAAGCAGTCATTGATTGTGAGCTGTTGTAATTGATTCGGATTAAGGGTGATTGTAAAGAGGGCGTCAATAAATCTAATTATTCAACCCAGAACCCCTTATTATTTGTCACGGAACCCAGGGCACATGGCACCTGGTGTCAGAATTGGTGCGGATTGGACTGATTGATCTACTGGATCGAATTACTGGATTGAAGACTGCAGAAGAAGTCCTACCGCCACAACATTATTCATGCCGCCATAAACTTGTGACATTGTGGTGTCGGAAGTGGTTACGACCATAAATACATGACAATATAATTAATAGGGTGAAGTCACCGTATTTCGGGTGGTCGCCTAATTTCGGGTAGCTTGGTTTTTCAGGAAGTGAGGTCAGTACTGCTGTGAGGCCTCAGGATCTTGAACTTCCTATCCAAGCCGTTTCTCAGCAGCGGCAGTTTGGACGTTGAGGCAGTAACGTTATTTCTGCCAATTCTCATGTAATATTTTCGCTTACAGAGCTAAGGTTTCGAAAACCATACCTGAGTTTTAGCTTGGACGTTGTATATACGATCGTATGATCTATTTTTTTTTTATTTCTAATGGGGTGGGACTAAGTCCCTTGTGTTGCGGCCACTTCGGGGGCCGCCGCACTGGGAAGCCAGCGACGAACCTCTTGAGCTATGGCGCGGCCCCTATATGAACGTAACTATATACATTGCAACTTGCATGTCGTCGCTTCCAAAAGCTTCAATTCCCCTATCTGCTTCTACGTTTATATCAGTACTGGGTTGCCTAATTTCCGGTACTCAACATGGTTACGACTTCCGGGTATCCGAAACTAGGAACCTTATTTTCCATAGTGTTTGTGTTATATTCATTCTTAGGTGGATGATACTAAAAGGAAGGAATGGAGCTTAGACTCCATGAGAAGTGCA